CAATTGAGAGGTGGTTTTGTCCGATCATCATTTCAACTGACGTGCATGTACACAGCCATTTGGATTATTTGAGTAAAATATTGCCCACTGCGCATAAGTGCAACAGCTAGCTTTTTCTTTTGGTGGTGAAATTTTTTGGGCTGGACAATGTATAATGCCACTGAACCTACGAAGGTCCACATAAACCCTATGGTCCTCCTAAACAACAATAGGATAGAAAGCTACTAAACACACACACACCCCCACAGACAGATGGCTTACTAAAATGAAAACCTCTGTTTGGGACTGTCCTGACAAACCAGTGTCCATGTAAATCACATAACACTCAGATACACTTACACACTAATTACAAGAGTGGTTGACTAACATCTTACAACAAGTTACATATATCATCTAATTATTAAATAGAAATCACCTCTGCATTCCTGTTGGTAGAAATCAGGTTGGGATCAGTCTGCTTCAGGTTGTCTTCCGGCATCTGACTCTGGATTGCCTCAGGTGAGACCTGCATCAGACAAGCATCAGCTACTCAATACAAGTTAGTGACAAACTGCTGTTCCCATATTGTAGCTTTGTTTTTTATACATTTACGCTATATATAAAAACGTGTAGAAAATTCTTACTGCATTAGAATGCAAACACACTGCCTTGCCTAAAAAAGAAGTTGCCACCTAGATTTATTTAAGCAAACAGAGAGGAGCCTCCTATTGGACAATTACTGCATGGGCGATAATCTTTCAACTGGCAACAAGTTATTTAACTCCAACTGCTGCAGTGAGTTGCTTCTCATTTCTTAAACAGCTATGTAGAAAAACACATCTGGTGGTCGTGTAAAAGATGTTCGTCTGTTTTGAGAAGGGTCAAATGATTAGCATGAATAGGGCAGTGAAAACATTTACGGAGATTGCAGAAACAACTAAAATTGGCTTAAGAACTGTCAGTAGCCACATTTACATGGGCACAACTATTCAGATTGAACGCCCAATCAGATCAAAAATTCTACATGTAAACATGTCAATCGAAATGTTCTGATCCAATTCAGCCCGATCAGAATGAAGTTTCAATCCAATTGAGAGGTGGTTTTGTCCGATCATCATCCCAACTGACGTGCATGTACACAGCCATTTGGATTATTTGAGTAAAATATTGCCCACTGCGCATAAGTGCAACAGCTAGCTTTTTCTTTTGGTGGTGACATTTTTTGGGCTGGACAATGTATAATTCCACTGAACCTACAAAGGTCCACATGAACACTACAGGCCTTCCATTTTGTAAAACACTGCTTTTATTGTGTTGGTTGGTTATGTTCTGGTGACATATAGAACTTGGGAGTGCAGGCTGCTGCCTGAGAGGTGGTAGAAGACGGAGTGTCTCCATGATGCTTTGTTTGGTCCCTTATGTGTGTGAGGCGAGTGGTGTTACGATCCTTCCTGGGGAGTTTAGCTCGTGTGCAAAAAGGAAGGGACAATAACGGGATTTAAAAGTTAAAATGATGATCAGGTTTATTTACAAAAAACCTAAATCTTTCCATCCACAGGTTGGGAATAATAAAACTAATTCTGCCTGTGGGGAATTAAAACAAAAGTACAAATAACCTGGGATGTCCCACTGGGCAAAGATTACAGGGTTCTGGACCAAAATAAGGATCTCCAAAGGTCCAAATTCTAAACTGGGAGGTTAAACCAAACTTAAGGTGATATTTTAAACTAAACCGAAAACCAACAACACTCTAAATGTAATAAAAGGGAGATCTGCACCACAAAAACGATGAACTCTAAACCAAAACATAACAGCTTATCCAAATGCAATGGTGATGGTGATGCCTCCAAGATGGCGCCGAGTATGGCTGCCTCGTCGCGAGCTCCACCAAGCAACAGTTGTTTTTTGTGTTTACTACTTTTTCTTTCTTTATTTTTTCACGAGTAGCACATGTATCCTTGTGTACGACTGACAAACCTTACTGGACATAAAAGACAGAGTTTCTCATTGCTTCCCGGAGTTCAGGTCTTTCATCATGGACCAGCCGTTTGCAGATTCCCCATTCATCTCACCTGAGACGCCTTTGTTCTGGGCCCGTGGAGGCCGCAAGCGCCGACGCAGAGGGAGAAGATCTGGCGTTCTGCTTCGACTAAGACGGCGCACTAACAGACCACCATTACCCAGTTTACTACTGGCTAATGTGCAGTCCCTGGAGAACAAGCTGTGCGAGCTTCGGGCTCGGATCTCATTCCAGCGAGAGATGCGGGACTGCAGCGCGATCTGTCTCATAGAAACCTGGCTATCGGACAAAGTACCGGATCCCGCAGCACAACTACCGGGGTTCTCCGTGCACCGCGCGGACAGGTCACAGGAGCTTACTGGGAAAAGCAGAGGTGGTGGTGTGTGTTTCATGATCAACAACAGCTGGTGTGATTATGCGAACGTGCACCCGGTCAAATCCTTCTGCTCTCCGGACCTAGAGTACCTGATGATTAAGTGCCGGCCATTCTGGCTACCGAGAGAATTCACAGCGGTGGTTATGACGGCTGTTTATATTCCCCCACAAGCCGACACTGACCGAGCACTCAGAGAACTGTACAGCGCGATCAGCAATGAGGAAACCGCACACCCAGAGGCGGCGTTTATTACGATCGGGGACTTTAATAAGGGTAACCTGAAGAAAGTCTCACCAAAACTACACCAACACATCCATTTCAATAAACGTGGAGATCGGCTACTCGACCACTGCTACACCTCTTTCCGAGATGCGTACAAAGCCCTCCCCCGCGCCCCATTCGGCCAATCAGATCACCGCTCCATCCTGCTTATACCTGCCTACAGACAGAAGCTGAAACGGGAAGCTCCAACCCTGAGGGCGGTGCATTGTTGGTCGGACCAATCGGAGTCTACACTGCAGGATTGTTTTGATAACGCGGACTGGGAAATGTTTCACGCAGCTGCTAGAGACATTGATGAGTACACAGACTCAGTCTGCAGATTTATCAGGAAATGCGTGGAAGATGTTGTCCCATCCAGAACAGTTAAACCCTTCCCAAATCAAAAACCCTGGATTAATGGAGGTGTGCGAACGGCGCGGAGCACCACCTTTGCCTCCGCGAACACATCAGACTACAAACACGCACATTACCAACTCCGGAAGACGATCAAAGCAGCCAAACGTGAGTACAGAGACAGGGTGGAGCAACAGTTTGAGAACCCCCGGAGTATGTGGCAGGGACTAAACACAATCACAGACTTTAGAGGGAGAACCAGAACACCGCAGACCACGGCCTCTCTGTGTGAGGATCTAAACGCATTCTATGCCAGATTCGACACAGCGAACTCCATGAGACCGGACAGTGAGCGCACCGCGGATGACGTCAGTGCGCACACTGTGTCTGAAGAGGGTGTGCGGAGGTGGTTCAGGAGGGTGAACGCACGCAAAGCTACTGGTCCGGTCGGGATTCCCGGCCGCGTCCTAAGGTCATGCGCGGGTCAGCTGGCTGGAGTGTTTACACACATCTTCAACCTTTCCCTCTCTCTGTCTGTAGTCCCAGCCTGCTTCAAAATGGCCACCATTGTCCCTGTACCCAAATCCTCCACCATCTCCTCACTGAATGACTGGCGACCTGTAGCCCTGACCCCCATCGTGAGCAAATGCTTCGAGAAGTTGGTCAGGGACTTCATCTGCTCTGCACTGCCCGATTCACTGGGCCCTCTACAGTTTGCATATCGCCACAACAGGTCCACTGATGATGCCATAGCCCTGACACTTCATGCTGCCCTGTCACACCTGGAGAAGAGAGACACGTATGTGAGAATGCTGTTTGTAGATTACAGCTCAGCATTCAACACCATTGTTCCCTCGAAGCTGGACAGGAAACTGCAGGATCTAGGACTGAGCAGCTCCCTCTGCAGCTGGATCCTGAACTTTCTGTCTGACAGATGCCAGGTGGTCAGACTGGGCGGCACCACCTCATCCACCGTCACACTGAACACTGGTGCTCCGCAGGGGTGTGCGCTGAGCCCTCTCCTGTACTCACTCTACACCTACGACTGCACGGCCACGAGAAACTCCAACATCATTGTGAAGTATGGGACGACACCACAGTGGTAGGTCTCATCACCAACGACGATAAGACGGCCTACAGGGAGGAGATCAGCTCCCTGACCCACTGGTGTCAGGACAACAGTCTCACCCTCAACGTCACAAAGACAAAGGAGATGATAATGGACTTCCGGACGAGCAGAGGAATACACACCCCCATCACCATCAACGGCGACGCTGTGGAGAGGGTGAGCAGTTTCCGTTTCCTTGGAGTTCATCTGGCAGAGGATCTTACGTGGTCATGCACACGGAAAGTAAAGTGAAGAAGGCACAGCAGCGCCTCTTCTTTCTCAGAAGACTGAAAAGATTTGGCATGAGCTGCCGCATCCTCAGGACCTTCTATCGCTGTGCCATTGAGAGCATCCTCACTGGATGCATCTCCGCCTGGTATGGCAACAGCACCGCTTACAACCGCAAAGCTCTCCAGAGAGTAGTGCGGTGTGCAGAAAGGATTATTGGAGGTGAGCTTCCCTCCCTCCAGGACATCTATAAGAAGCGGTGCCTGAGGAAAGCGGGGAGGATCATCAAGGACTCAAGTCACCCCAGCCATAAACTGTTCAGACTACTTCCATCAGGAAGGAGGTTCTGCAGCATCCGGTCCAGAACCAGCAGACTGAGAGACAGCTTTTTCCATCAGGCCATCAGACTGCTGAACACGGCGCAGACACCTCACCCTCACTACTGAAACTCCAACATTACACACTCCATACTGTACATTAATGCCACTGTTTTGCACATACCAACCTCTGTATATTTTATATCTCTTATGTTATTGTTTACTTTATTCATTTGTATATTTAGATTAGCCATTTTTATATTTTACTTGTTTTTACATTACTGTATTTTTTCACAACTCTGTTGCTGTGAAGCTCGCACACAAGAATTTCACTCGCATGTACTCTACCAGTGTACCTGCACATGTGACGTGACAATAAAAGTGATTTGATTTGATTTGAAATGCAAGAAGCTGTTAACGAATATGCTAACAGTAGCTTTACCAACGTTAAGTTCAAGTTACCAAGTTTAAATTAACCAAAAACACCCAGCAACAAACAGACCAGCATGGAGGAGAGTGCTACCACCAAAACAGCTTTCCTAATGTCTGAATGAAGCTCCTTAATGAAGGGAGAAACGCTCCCGGTGATTTTCGACATCTGCGATAGAGATGAATTAGCGCATTTGACCCCGGAAGTTGCTGTCCGTTGCCGGGGGGCGAAGGCGGGCAAAACAGGAAAGGAATCTCGTAGCGGACGGACATTGTTCCGGGTCTTCGGTATTTGGCGGAGAAGAGGGCGAACTAGAGGAAAAACAGGCAGATTCCTCCTCTATTTACAAACTCCTGGGGATATAACAAGTGGGCGTGGTGCGTCGACTACCGGATCTGACATCGACGAATTTTTAGAATCGAGCCGTCGACGTCATTGATGCGTCGCCACAGCTCTAGTTACATATGTCATCTAATTATTAAATAGAAATCACCTCTGCATTCCTGTTGGTAGAAATCAGGTTGGGATCAGTCTGCTTCAGGTTGTCTTCCGGCATCTGACTCTGGATTGCCTCAGGTGAGACCTGCATCAGACAAGCATCAGCTACTCAATACAAGTTAGTGACAAACTGCTGTTCCCATATTGTTGCTTTGTTTTTTATACATTTACACTATATATAAAAACGTGTAGAAAATTCTTACTGCATTAGAATGCAAACACACTGCCTTGCCTAAAAAAGAAGTTGCCACCTAGATTTATTTAAGCAAACAGAGAGGAGCCTCCTATTGGATAATTACTGCATGGGCGATAATCTTTCAACTGGCAACAAGTTATTTAACTCCAACTGCTGCAGTGAGTTGCTTCTCATTTCTTAAACAGCCATGTAGAAAAACACATCTGGTGGTCGTGTAAAAGATGTTCGTCTGTTTTGAGAAGGGTCAAATGATTAGCATGAATAGGGCAGTGAAAACATCTAAGGAACTAAATATGACTTAAGAACTGTCAGTAGCCACATTTACATGGGCACAATTAAATTGAACGCCCAATCAGATAAAAAATTCTACATGTAAACATGTAAATCGAAGTGTTATGATCCAATTCGGCCCGATCGGAATGAAGTTTCAATCCAATTGAGAGGTGGTTTTGTCCGATCATCATTCCAACTGACGTGCATGTACACAGCCATTTGGATTATTTGAGTAAAATATTGCCCACTGCGCATAAGTGCAACAGCTAGCTTTTTCTTTTGGTGGTGACATTTTTTGGGCTGGACAATGTATAATGCCACTGAACCTACGAATGTCCACATAAACACTATGGTCCTCCTAAACAACAATAGGATAGAAAGCTACTAAACACACACACACACCCCCACACACAGATGGCTTACTAAAATTAAAACCTCTGTTTGGGACTGTCCTGACAAACCAGTGTCCATGTAAATCACATAACACTCAGATACACTTACACACTAATTACAAGAGTGGTTGACTAACATCTTACAACAAGTTACATATATCATCTAATTATTAAATAGAAATCACCTCTGCATTCCTGTTGGTAGAAATCAGGTTGGGATCAGTCTGCTTCAGGTTGTCTTCCGGCATCTGACTCTGGATTGCCTCAGGTGAGACCTGCATCAGACAAGCATCAGCTACTCAATACAAGTTAGTGACAAACTGCTGTTCCCATATTGTAGCTTTTTTTTTTATACATTTACACTATATATAAAAACGTGTAGAAAATTCTTACTGCATTAGAATGCAAACACACTGCCTTGCCTAAAAAAGAAGTTGCCACCTAGATTTATTTAAGCAAACAGAGAGGAGCCTCCTATTGGATAATTACTGCATGGGCGATAATCTTTCAACTGGCAACAAGTTATTTAACTCCAACTGCTGCAGTGAGTTGCTTCTCATTTCTTAAACAGCTATGTAGAAAAACATCTGGTGGTCGTGTAAAAGATGTTCATCTGTTTTGAGAAGGGTCAAATGATTAGCATGAATAGGGCAGTGAAAACATATAAGGAACTAAATATGACTTAAGAACTGTCAGTAGCCACATTTACATGGGCACAATTAAATTGAACGCCCAATCAGATAAAAAATTCTACATGTAAACATGTAAATCGAAGTGTTATGATCCAATTCGGCCCGATCGGAATGAAGTTTCAATCCAATTGAGAGGTGGTTTTGTCCGATCATCATTCCAACTGACGTGCATGTACACAGCCATTTGGATTATTTGAGTAAAATATTGCCCACTGCGCATAAGTGCAACAGCTAGCTTTTTCTTTTGGTGGTGACATTTTTTGGGCTGGACAATGTATAATGCCACTGAACCTACAAAGGTCCACATAAACCCAATGGTCCTCCTAAACAACAATAGGATAGAAAGCTACTAAACACACACACACCCCCACAGACAGATGGCTTACTAAAATGAAAACCTCTGTTTGGGACTGTCCTGACAAACCAGTGTCCATGTAAATCACATAACACTCAGATACACTTACACACTAATTACAAGAGTGGTTGACTAACATCTTACAACAAGTTACATATATCATCTAATTATTAAATAGAAATCACCTCTGCATTCCTGTTGGTAGAAATCAGGTTGGGATCAGTCTGCTTCAGGTTGTCTTCCGGCATCTGACTCTGGATTGCCTCAGGTGAGACCTGCATCAGACAAGCATCAGCTACTCAATACAAGTTAGTGACAAACTGCTGTTCCCATATTGTAGCTTTGTTTTTTATACATTTACACTATATATAAAAACGTGTAGAAAATTCTTACTGCATTAGAATGCAAACACACTGCCTTGCCTAAAAAAGAAGTTGCCACCTAGATTTATTTAAGCAAACAGAGAGGAGCCTCCTATTGGATAATTACTGCATGGGCGATAATCTTTCAACTGGCAACAAGTTATTTAACTCCAACTGCTGCAGTGAGTTGCTTCTCATTTCTTAAACAGCCATGTAGAAAAACACATCTGGTGGTCGTGTAAAAGATGTTCATCTGTTTTGAGAAGGGTCAAATGATTAGCATGAATAGGGCAGTGAAAACATCTAAGGAACTAAATATGACTTAAGAACTGTCAGTAGCCACATTTACATGGGCACAATTAAATTGAACGCCCAATCAGATAAAAAATTCTACATGTAAACATGTAAATCGAAGTGTTATGATCCAATTCGGCCCATCGGAATGAAGTTTCAATCCAATTGAGAGGTGGTTTTGTCCGATCATCATTCCAACTGACGTGCATGTACACAGCCATTTGGATTATTTGTGTAAAATATTGCCCACTGCGCATAAGTGCAACAGCTAGCTTTTTCTTTTGGTGGTGACATTTTTTGGGCTAGACAATGTATAATTCCACTGAACCTACGAAGGTCCACATAAACCCTATGGTCCTCCTAAACAACAATAGGATAGAACGCAACTAAACACACACACACACACACAGATGGCTTACTAAAATGAAAACCTCTGTTGAGATTGTCCTGACAAACCAGTGTCCATGTAAAGCACATAACACTCAGATACACTTACACACTAATTACAAGAGTGGTTGACTAACATCTTACAACAAGTTGCATATATCATCTAATTATTAAATAGAAATCACCTCTGCATTCCTGTTGGTAGAAATCAGGTTGGGATCAGTCTGCTTCAGGTTGTCTTCTGGCATCTGACTCTGGATTGCCTCAGGTGAGACCTGCATCAGACAAGCATCAGCTACTCAATACAAGTTAGTGACAAACTAAATTTAGACAATTCTTGAAGAAATTCAATATTTGTTTAGGACATAGTGTCAAAAAAATCTCCCCAGGAAAATTTAAATTGAGGACATGGATCCATGTCTTGTGCAGCTTGCCTGTCTACTTGTTTGTAAAAGGCATGTATTTGTATAGCAGTGGACTGCAAATTAACTGCCAGTCTCTGGCTTTTTGTCAAACTCTGACCCTGACTCTACTCCATCTACTCCACCTAACCTATAAACTGCTGCAGGCAGAAAGCTCTGGAACAACTAGTGACTCCACACCCTAGCCAAATCAGAGACAGTCAGTCTCTTACATAGTATTTTTAGACTTGGTCAGCATGCTAAGAACCACAACCAATCAGGTACTGAAAATTTGGGTGAAAATACTGAACCATGTCTTTGGAAAAGGCAGTAAAATTGAACCACACCCATCCAAGTCACACGGAGTAGTACTGTTGGAAAACCCATATTAGAAGTAGCATAATTTAAGTGAACAATAAAAATAGACTACCTCTGCACTTCTATGGAGCGGCTCAAGGTCTGGATCAGTTTGGTTTGCGTTGTTTGCTGCCACCTTACTATGCCTCTTTTCAGTCCTTATCTGCATCAGAAAATGAATAAAAGTTAGTGATAGTCTTAATTCATACCACTCAAGTAACATCAAAGGAAAGCTGAAAATTATTAGGATGAAAAAAAAACATGCTTTGTCTTTCATAAAAATATTGTACACGTGTTAAAAATGATTGGATTTTATACTGTAAATAAACATTAACTTGTTTCTTCCATAGGCAAATTTCATAGGCATTCAAAATTTAATGACTCAATTGTCAGTCACCTTGCATCTCCATGGCCAGTCTGAGTCACCGTAATTATAGGTTACCTCTTCTCCCTGGCTTATTTCTCGAATAGCAAACAAGCACAAATGGGGCTTCCCTTGCACAGTCAGGTACTTCATTTTGGCATTAGGACAGACATGATCATCATTGACAAGTCTTCCAAGTGACCCATCTTCTTTTGCTGCATCAACACTAAAACATTAATGCATCAATTATTACATCATAAATTGTCTTGTGACTTCCAGCGACAGCACATTCAGCCATTTCTAATTTGATTGTATAATCATACTCACCACCACAGCTTTCCGTCAAAGTAGAATTCAAACAGAAACACTTTAAGTGTATCATGATAAACTCTTTGTCTCCTCTCACATTCCTCCTTACTGATCAGTTCTCCTCTATATTCCAACAGAAAGTCTCCTTTTTGAAAAGAGGTAGTTACAAAGACACCACGGCCTTGTTGAGGGAGGGAGGGAGGGGGGGAGGAGGGGAGGGGAGAGAGAGAGAGAGAGAGAGAGAGAATTGTCAATGTAGAGTTCAGGTTATATTTTTATTAAACTACCAGAAAATAATTATACCTTTGTAGGCACTGATGGATTTTACGTCAAATCCCACTTTGTCCTTTCCATTCTCAATGTGATATTTAGCATCTCCTTTTGGGTTAATGCGTCTTTGCCTCTCCATGTTTTACTGGCATCTGTAAAGTTAAAGTCCCATAGTCATCATCACACACGTGTGAAATTACATCTCCACACTTGACCCATCCCCACAGGGAGCTGTGAGCTACAGCAGTGGCTGTGCTCGAGAACCATTTGGTGGTTTAAACCCAAATCCAACCCATTGAAGCCGAGTGTCAAGAAGGGAGGCGTGGGGTCCCGTAAGTCTGGTCGCCTTATGACCCAACTGGGAATTGACCTCCCAGTCCCAAGGCGGGCACTAAATAATAGCAAGAGTTAAATCTTAAGGAAAGCTACAGGAAGGGTAACAAAATGATAATTCCAAGTTTCAAATAATGATAATTCTGACGTTACGTTCATGCTGCAGGTCCTGATGCTCAATTCCGAAAATCCTAATATTTTTGTGTGGTTGTTTACATTTTGACTGAAATGTGACATCAAACTCTCTCCAGTGTGAACGCTTTATGGCCCCAAAGTGACCTGCATGCGCAGAGGACAAGAAGTCACACTCACCAGAGTTGTAACTAGGAGAGGCAGAGTTGTGATGTGAAAGCCTTCACTGACAGTTCATTCACAGAATCAGGATCACACCTGTCAAGTCTCCAGTTTAGGGATGTTTTAAATACTGTAAACTATTTTATTCCTTGTTCCTGCCGTCTTCCCAAATTATTATTTACCAAAAATGTTCCAGTATAGACCCTTTTACTGTTTGTAAACAATATGACTTCAGCGAGAATGCGCGCAGCTTGGCAACAGAGAATGGCGTTGTTTCAGGCTTTATCAAGCTACGCTGCTGGGTTATCACCAGCAAATCTTGAATGTTGTATTATTAAACTCACTTTAACGAATGGCGACAGACTCCCGGATCCCTGTGGCATTACGGAATGGGTGTAAGATGTAGGTGCGTGGCCAGATATCCAGTGGCCCGATATGTACACGTTTTTAGTGGAGAGGCCCAGTAAGTACACAAGTGAGAAGCTACGGGCATACAAATCGTTAGATGCATACAACTATGTTGTCTGTGGCCACGTACAGAAAGTAAAATATCACGACATAGACTCTGAGTTTTGCGTCTTGAAGGCAGAAGTCCTTCCTAGCCAAAGACAAGGACTGCTATGTATGAGGCTTGGGTCATAGTAAACAAACCAGAGAACTACGTCTTCACAGCCAACTGTGCCTGCATGGCAGGGTGAGTATAGCATAGGTTTCTTTTTTTAGCGTGCTCAGAGTACAATCGTGTAAATTTTAGAGAAATACAGTTTATACTAATATGCAGTGGGAAAATACAGATGAATTAGAATGAAATGTTAATTTGAAGCATGAAATAAAGCGTATAAATTTGTTTAATTCTGTCATTTTGATGTTCCAGACTTGGGTCATGCTGCAGCCACGCAGCAGCAATTTTATTCAAAGTTGAGTTTGTGTTAGGATGGGAAAAACAGGAAAGGCTGCAGTTACACTTTTGATGGCCTGCAGCCACAGACGCCTCCGATTTTGTTCAAATGGATGTGCTCCCTTCGGAATTCTGTAAAGTTTCAGTCCACTGCTTGAAGAGAAGCGATTCTGGCATCCATACACGCAACAACCCGACTTTTTTTAAGTGCTCAGAACTTCAAAACAAAAGGTTTCAAACGCTGTTTTAGTATTGAATGTGAATGAGGAAGCCTTCACTCTCGTTGCCAGGCTGCGCGCGCAACTTTTGATGACATAGGTAGTAAAAGGGTCTATTATGTTCATTCACAGAGAACCATCTTTAATTATTCTACAGGTTATTGTTCACCCTTCTGACGCTCAAACACACACACACACACACACACACACACACACACACGAGTGTTGGTGAGTGGCTGCGTCTGACTGCTGACGCTCCGTGTGCGTTTTTATTTCTGCAGTGAGACAAACTCACCTCACACCGTCCAGAGTTTGTTCTTTAAAGCTTCTATTAAATCCACCATGTTGACTTATATTAACAAGTTTCCTCTGCAGAAATTAAAAGTTTACATTACAAAGTAAAAGTTCGGCAGGCGTGTTTGTTTATATCTGTACGATTCTGGGAAAAACTAACAGTTGCTCCCGATTCTTGATGCCATGGCAGCCCTTAACACAACAGGAGTGTACCATTTTCTGCAGGTTTATAAGCTCACTACCAATCCCATGATGCAATGTGCTACAGCACCAAGCTAATGCTAAACTAGCAGCTGTAGCTTCACAAATTCAATAAATATAACCAAAAACTGTAAGATTCACAACCTTTCATTAGGTTTCCAACTATATAAAACTAATTTGAAAACGTTGCTACAAGCCAGGGCTTTCCCTATTCCCCCCCTCCCCCCCCCCCCCACTCCCCACCCTCATCAGGGACAACGCACGGTACCGAATCCATCCATACACTCACCCCCACCTCCCCAGTTATCACGTTCGACGCACGGTACCGAATCTATCCATACGCTCACCCCCACCTCCCCAGTTATCACGTTCGACGCACGGTACCGAATCTATCCATACGCTCACCCCCACCTCCCCACGTTATCACGTTCGACGCACGGTACCGAATCTTTCCATGCGCTCACCCCCACCTCCCCACGTTATCACGTTCGACGCACGGTACCGAATCTATCCATACGCTCACCCCCACCTCCCCACGTTATCACGTTCGACGCACGGTACCGAATCTTTCCATGCGCTCACCCCCACCTCACCCCGCTATCACGGATGACGCACGGTACCAAATCTATCCATACGCTCACCCCCACCTCCCCACGTTATCACGTTCGACGCACGGTACCGAATCTATCCATACGCTCACCCCCACCTCCCCACGTTATCACGTTCGACGCACGGTACCGAATCTTTCCATGCGCTCACCCCCACCTCACCCCGCTATCACGGATGACGCACGGTACCGAATCTATCCATACGCTCACCCCCACCTCCCCAGTTATCACGTTCGACGCACGGTACCGAATCTATCCATACGCTCACCCCCACCTCACCCCGCTCTCACGGATGACGCACGGTACCGAATATATCCGTGCGCTCACCCCCACCTCCCCAAGTTATCACGGACGACGAACGGGAGCGATTCTATCAGTCCCCCCCCCCCCCCCCCCCATCACGGATGACGCACGGTACCGAATCTACCCGTGCGCTCACCCCACCTCCCCCCCGTTATCACGGACGACGAACGGAAGCGAATCTTATAAACGTGCTCTTCCACCAGCCTCGCTACAACGCCTGGGCTTCTCTACCGCCAGGCTTAAGTTTTCTGGAGGACACCCTGCAAGCTAATGCTAAGCTAGCTAGCAACTCACTGCTAACCAAACGAACTGCATTGCATTCTCTAAATACTTGCTACAAGTCTATTGTTACATCAAAGAAACATTAAAACTAGAAAATAACCGAAATGTATTAATACTATTGCTTACCTGTGAAGTTTAATCCACGGGGACCTCCATTTTGAGTGCTGCAGCTTTGAAGGCATTTAAAATTTAAAGGCACGTCTTCAGGAAGTAGCTTTGAGGGGTTGGGCTTTATGTCCCGCCCACAGCCAATCACAAAAGGGACACCCCAAAACCCCGCGAAGTGTATAAATGTGTATAAAAGTGCAATAAATACACAACATCCAGGGGCGCTGTGTTATACACATAAATACACAAAAATCATATTGAGTGGTATAGATGGACAAATTAATAAACTGAAAATAAAAGCTGTTTATATATTATTAAGTGTCAAAACACAATCCAAACTATAAAGCCACTTGTAAAGTATAGGTTTTGCCCAAAATCCATGAGAAAAAATTATTTTTAAGTACTTAAAAAAGCAAATACATACCATGATTTAGGCGGACCTTGGCCTAGTCCTCCTAAGACACAAAGGTCCTTGTAATGTCGGTACGTATTCAGGTCAAAAGTCCAGATATGCCACAAAAACACACGCACACACACACACACAAACACACACACACACACACACACACACACACACACACACACACACACACACACACACACACACACACACACACACACACACACACACACACACACACACACACACACACACACACACACACACACACACACACACACACACACACACGGGACTGTCTCAGCTGTTATTTTCGTTAAGGAGTGTGCACGTACGGCATGCGCGCCTCGTGCATGAGCCTACTATTGAAGCTGCCGTTACGCTTTTGGCCTGAGGGGGCAATCGCGAGCATAAAAATTCAAAACTCCATAAAGTCCCTTTAAACTCAGTTTAGTTTGTGTTTTGCAATCGGAACCCTAACCCAAAACCCTAACCCTGGCTCTGCATCACATCAGAAGAAAAAGAACATTCATAATATTTTATTCTTTCTAAATATTAAAAAATCTAACATAATCAATATATTCACTATATCTGTCTTGTCTGCTTTGTGTGTTGTTGTGTCGATGACTGAGAGTTTGGAGAAACTGTTTATGTGCCCTAAATGAAAAAGCAGTTGAGTTAGTTGTGAGATAACTTCTGCAAAGCTACGTGTCATCTCCGATGTCTGTAGAGACGCTTTAGGAAGAGGTTTTCAAAGGCAAATGTAACTCAGGAGAAAAGGATATACGTATTAAAAAGAAGTACCTCCATCTGTTCAGAAATCTAATTTCATTAAATATTTAACAGTCTGGGAATTATATCCTTCCCCATCAGCAATTAAACCGCTCGTGTATCCTTCTGCATATCAATTAGCACTCCGCCAGGCGCCAGTCAATTTTTATTTCAGATTCATGAGCAGTTGATTGTTTTCTAGGAGCTGGTGTGAATAAGCCGTCAATCGGCCTTGTTTTTAGTTTTCAAACTCATTTATTTGTGTTAACTGTGTGAATCCATTCCTGTCTAAATCATTTGAAGTGTAAATGAGAAACCGAAGATGTAGAAATGGTCCGTTCATCGTGCGTCATGATGGAGCAGAGACATTTCACCAAATCTCTGAACACTTAATTGACTAAATAACGAGCTGAGGGTTTTTGTTTGGCTCTTTATTTCTGCATTTAGATTCTAGTTCACATCGGCTTCCTGACAGAGGAGTCTGGAGATGTTTTCAGTCCCAAGGTGCTGAAGGGGGGCCCTCTGGGGGAGATGGTGCAATGGGCCGACATTCTCACTGCTTTCCATGTGCTCGGACACGATGTCAAGATCTCCGTTTCTCTCAAGGAACTGCATGGGTAAGAGAAGCTGTAATTATTCCTCCATCCATGGTTTTCTTGAGTGGATTTGTGGATTGGAAATACTTAGCTTTACTCACTGGGTGCTCTGGAAGTTTGCCGTAATTGGAGTTCTCTTGCCCACACATTGCTTTCTTCGGGTAGACATGCAGATAGGCTCTTCCTCTGCAGAAATCTGTTAAAGCCTGAGGCTTCTCTTCAGTTTCGGCGCTTTCTTTCCTTCAGCAGCCCACTGACCTCCGAGTAAAATGGACTTGTCACTACTCATTACAAACACAAACTGTAACGCTACTGGACATATACACAATGTGCACAAAGAGACAGAATTGGCTTTATAAATAAATGAAACTCGCAGCATTCCTTAAAAGGAACCCAGGTTACACAACTTTGTGGTTCTTAAAAGATAAATGTAAGTATCAGTTATATTAAAATGGTGTAAAAAAACCTTCTTAATGTTTTCATTTGTCACAAAACTTCGCAAAACATATAGCAACACCATTTTTGTGCTGAGCTGTGTTTCTGTGAAGCATACAGGTTACTTTACACTGTTTACTGATCAGCTTCTGCTATTTTGTTATGAGTAAAATAGACTCAATTGTACTTTTACATTTGTGTGTACCAACGTAAGAATACATATGTGTGCTACTTGCATTTCTTGGTTCTTTTTAAACACAGAAAAGTAAAGTTCTTTACCTTGTTTGCTAATGTTTTGGCTACTTCCTGTAGCCATCCTCAGAGCTGTGACGATGTTGGTGGCGTCACTTCCTTCTCCGTTTATTTGCGGGCAGCAGAAGGCAACATCGTCCTCTGCAGAATAAACGTATATAAGACATGTGCAGGTTAATGCCTGTAACGTCCAGAAATGGTCAGTTTTCACCTACATTTTGACCTACATGCTACCGGTCATCTGCAGACATAAATTCCATTCTCTAAGGTGGATTTTACGTTCTATCGTCCTACGAGGCCAGAAAACTCTGCAGCTCTGAACACATGATAACATATTGTCAACAAACTGTTCCTGTTTCAAGGCCTAAGCTTCCCTTATGGCTTCTACAGAGCCCTTTTCAGACAGACATTCTGGAACATTTGTGGACAATTCAATCCGGTTTTTAACCGGAACTGTGTTTTCAGACACACCACTTTTGTACTGGAACTTATCCTTTCGGCTGCGTTCACACAGCAGGGAAAAGTTCCAGATGTCTGGCGGGGTGGGGGGGGTGGGGGTGGGGGGTTGGACTCATGTTAAGAAGAAGAAAATATCATTTCTATAGCGCCTCTCAAGATAAAAATCACGAGGCGCTTAAGCATAATTCTGCGCACACGCAGTCGCATAAGAGACCTGGATGATGAAGCTCAATGGTTAAAGGAATCATTGAAGCGGCGTGAAGCGCTCCGTCGCGCGTCTAGGCGGTACCGTAGGAGGCGAGCTGCCATGGTTCGCCGCATTCTACAGCAGCGGGCTATCTAGGTGCACACAGTGTCCCCCGGTCCCCTCCTCCTCCCCCTCCTCTCTGTCCGGAACTTTACCTCACCAGTCTGAATCAGCCACCCTGTCCGTAACAAGTCCGGACCTGTTACTAGGGGCTTCATCCAGATAAATTCCGGAACACGTTATCCGGATGTTTGTATTCAGACACAAAGGTCTTACGGACAGAGTCCGGAACATTTCCGTTTTTCATGGCCTGTCTGAAGGGGGCTCAGGATTCCTTATGCCTCTGAATAAAGTGACGATTTTCATCTCATAAGTTAAATAATCATTAAATAATAATATGGTTGAATGAACAAATGTTATATGAATACTAATGAAATGTTTTGATTAATCTGTGCTTAAATTAATGTGGTTGAAATTAATTTTATTATTACAATGAAACATTTTGAGGTTATGATCAGTAATGTTTGGATTTAACAAGTGAATCATCATCAACACTCAGACACAATGTTCATTAGAGATAAATTAAAGTTAAAATAACGTCACTGCCCATAGATATTTTCTTACCCACAAATCAGAGCATCCTGTATCTGAAAGAAGGCGTGATGTTCTGAGGTTTGTCTGTCAACACCTCTTAACATGGCACGTCCAGATTGGCCAAGTAAATCATAATATGAGAAATTAAAACAGAATAGTTTCTGAGTGATTCAGCATTCTGCTAGTTGAGCTAACTCTGACTGGCCATTGGAGGGAAACTCTGCTCACACCGCATCTCTTGACAAGCCTTCGACAAGCTAAAAGCTGACTAAAGCTGACGCAGCAAAACGGTTCCTTCAGCTATTCAGAAACAGCTGCCATAGACGCAAACTAGTTCCAACCTGTGTGCCCGGCGACATCTCTGGACTGGAGCGCCGGTACTGTGGTTAATCTACTGAACCTCGGTGCCCAGAGGTCATCCGACCTTCAGGACCTCCAGATCCGCGGGGAGGGTCTCCAAAAAGGGTGAGGTAGACATACATGATTGCGTCTGATGCCGTTTTGATAAGAACCAACTTCATAGTTTAATGCAAACCTTTTCACACCCAGAACTCAATTCTTCTACATACAAGGTTCTGATAAACACACACGATTAAATCACCATACATCACATCCCATCCACTTAGATTCATCCATCATAGTAGCCTTGTATTCTATATTTATATAGAATATCACTTCTTATTGGTCATAAGTAAAGGTGATATATTAAGCTTAAAAGCAACAATATTTAACCCCACATACCACACCAAATTTTGGTAAACTGACTTAATTTCACATTCATCTACAACTTTGCAGATTTACCTGAAGTCTACTCAGTTGGAATAATATTTTTCTGAGAGTTTTGTTGAGATGTACCCAATGGCTTGTGATACAGACAAATGCAGACAGTCAGAAAAAAATAATAACCACTCATCTTTCTGTCACACCCTGTCCTGTCTCCCCATTCTGTTTAGTCCGGTGTCCATGTTAATTGCTCCCACCTGCCTCTCGTCTCCCAATCACCCAAGGTCCCAGCTCCTCCTGTAGTTAAACCCTGTTAGTCCATTTTGTCTGGTCGGCTCATTGTTTCATTGTCCAGCGTGTGTTCAAGATTAAAGACTCTAAACTCATTCTGGTTTGTCTGCCTGCCTGCTTCCCTCACCCACATGTGGATCCTTGTATCTGCCTCACTCACCGGTACGTTGTGACACTTTCACCTTTTGGCACAAGTAGATTTTGAGAGGTGCAACAAGAGGAGTTCAGCAGATTGCTCTCGTGTACGGCAGGTTTAAGCCAGATCTCGTCGTGCCTTTTACATTTTATTCACACTGTGATCTTTCGAAAATGGCCTGGAAAATGGCCGTGTACGAGACAAGATTTACTGTCCTATTTTATTTGCAAGTGCAGACAGGGTGGTAATAATGTGCCCTGGTTATTGAACACTTTATTCCTTGCTGCAGGGAAGAGGCGCGAGCATTGATGAGTTAGTGCTGCCCTTTGAGCTTAAATTTCAGGCTGTGAAGAAAAGCCGCTTTGATAAGACCGGCTCGAGGAGATCAGTGAGGTGGGGAAGCCGCAGTGGGAATGCTCCTCACTGGCCGTGCCATTATTTACCCCTTCTAATTGGTGTTGTGGAGTATTGAACTGCTACAGCTTGTGTCCGTTGGGAAAAACACCAGAAATTTGGAAGAGATTGCAGAAAATTAAGAAAAGAGAGATGCAAAGAGGCATTGGCCAAGGTTTGGGGATTCTGGTTTCATAGAGCTGAATATGTGGATTTTGTCATTGCTTGTGTGTGTGTGTATGTGTATGTGTATGTGTGTGTGTGTGTGTGTGTGTGTGTGTGTGTGTGTGTGTGTGTGTGTGTGTGTGTGTGTGTGTGACCATAAATTTCATGCTAGAAGAGAGAAAAAGTTCAGATAAAACCCATATCTATTTATAAAGGTGTTGAAATAAAACATGCACTGCGAAAAACACCTGTTGGCTTCATCAGAAAGTAATCTCTGGCTCTCACTGGAGTGGTTTATAGCTGAGTGTTAAGCAGCAGAGAATCAGCTCCTTTAAACCCAAGTGGAGGAGTTTAGGTATCTCAGGGTCTTGTTAATGAATGAAGGAAAAATGGAGCGTGAGACCAATAGGCGGATTGGTCCTGCGTCTGCAGTGATGCGGGCGTTGTAGCGATCTGTCGTGGTGAAGAGAGAGCTGAGCCAGAAGGCAAAGCTCGATCTACGTTCCTACCCTCACATATGGTCACGACCTTTGGGTAGTGACTGAAAGAATGAGATTGCGGCTGAAATTCGTTTTCTCCTCAGGTTATACAGTTGTGGTCAGAAGTTTACATACACTTGTAAAAAATATAATATAATGGCTCTACTGAGTGTCCCGTTATTTCTAAAACTCTGATTTTTCTCTGATAGAGTGATTGGAACAGATACTTCTTTGTCACAAAAAACATTCAAGAAGTTTGGTTCTTTAATGTCTTTATTATGGGTTAACAGAGAAAAGTGATCACATTTGCTGGGTCACAAATATACATACAGCAACATGAACTAGCAATTTTGGTGACTTAGAAACGTGTCAGTGAACTGAGCTTCATAGCATGGCCTCTTAACTTCTTGTGAGTGATTATGAGTGACTACAGCGGGTGACTTCTCTTAGGCCAGGTAAATAGGGCTCATTGGATACAAACGCCCACAAACGCTACAATGGGAAAGTCAAAGGAGCTCAGCATGGATCTGAAAAAGCGAATTATTGACTTGAACAAGTCAGGAAAGTCACTTGGGGCCATTTCAAAGCAGCTGCAGGTCTCAAGAGCAACAGTGCAAACAATTGTTTGTAAGTATAAGGTGCATGGCACTGTTTCATCACTGCCAAGATCAGCAAGAAAACGCAAGCTATCACCTGCTGCTGAGAGAAAATTGGTCAGGCGGGTAAAGAGTGAACCAAGAATCACCAAAAAGCAGATCTGCCAAGAATTAGAAGCTGCTGGAACACAGGTGTCATTGTCCACAGTCAAACGTGTTTTGCATCTCCATGGACTGAGAGGCTGCCGTGC